GTAAAAAAAGCAAACACAGATGAAATTAATTTTGATTATACTAGGTCTTATTAAACACAGTATATTTAAAATGGTTATTTCACCATTAGTCAACATAAAAAATTAATAAATTATTTTATATTAACTTTTTATATTAAGGTTTTTCAATCCAGATTATATCTTATACTTACAGTATATCTCTACTTGAAGTAGCCACATTTCTAGTGCTCAATAGCCACATGTAGCTAGTTGTATGTTGGATAGAGCAAGCCTACAGCTTTGGGAGAGAGGAAAGAGAGAAAGAGAGAGAGAGAGAGAATAGTAAAAGATACAATGTGTACAATATGTGTATAATATATTATAGGATATACACTGAGTGGCCAGGTTTATTATCTGTTCAGAGATTGTAATAACCTGGACACTCAGTATAAATATTAAATATGATTTTTCTATCATTTAAAAGTGTTCTTTTGCTACCTGATTTATCTTAACCTATAAATTAAAGCAAATCAGGCCATGATTAGGATTACCTGGAAAATGTGAACTTGGCCATAGAAAATTATAGATGAATACAAATGTCTCCTTTAATACATGTAAATAATTTAAAATCACTGAATGATGGAGGAAAAGGAGTAAATGATCTTGTCAAAATATATCAAAAGGTCTTTGAATGGATATCATCATAAGTGACATGCTTAATGAAAAGAATTATTATTCCCATTGGATGGTCCAAATACTGGTGGGCATCTGGCAGTTAGTAGACATATTCTTTTTAAATATATATATATATATATATATATATATATATATATATATATATATATATATATATATAATAATTGATTTCAGAAAGGAAGGGAGAGGGAGAGAGAGATAGAAACATCATTGATGAGAGAGAATCATTGATCAACTGACTCCTGCACGTTCCCAACTGGGGATGGAGCCTGAAACCCAGACATGTGCCCTTGACTCAAACCTGGGACCCTTCAGCCCATAGGGCAATGCTCTATCTACTGAGCCAAACCAGCTAGGGCAGTAGACATATTCTTTAGGATAAGTTATTGCCAAAAATATTGTAGAATGTTTTTTAAAACTATAATAAGGAGAAAATGACCAAGGTACGCATAATAATTGAATGTCTAGCTAAATATATTAATGATACTAATTATTATCTATGCAATAATCTTAATTTCCCTGAAATAGATTTGCTTAGGTAAACACACATAACTTATGGAGAATGTCACCAAAAACTCTCTCGGACAGAGGACATACATGATTCACAACTTAAACTTGCCTTGCTATATGTAGTGACCCAGGAACCTTTCAGAGAAACCTCCTCTATTATTTTGGAGCAGAGAACATGTGTCTGATGTGGAGAACAAAGATCCCAGGGGCCACATGGCATGACATAATTCTTCCTGCTTTGGCAGGCCTCCTCATTGCTTGATCCTTAAAATTGTTAGTAAAGTAAGAAACTGGGTAAGTTCTCTTATATGCATAAATTTTTAAAATGTGTTTTATTTTTCTTTCATTTTTTTTCTTTGTTTGTGAAGAACTGGTGTTGTTACATTCTTATGTCTCTTTTTCACTCCTAAGAGAATTGCATGAGAAAATTGGAGTTAGGACAACTCAATGATGAGGCGGTGGAAGGAGATAAGCTCTAGAGAAGATTCTGAAAGCTTCCACTTGGAGGAAGCTGACCACAAATAGGCACCTGAGTGAGGCCTCTGGTTTGCACTGAGAAATAATAATAAGAAAATTGAGTGAGGGAAATGCATATATGTGTGCTTATGCCTATGTGTGTGTATGCATATATCTTATGAAATAGTTCACTTGAATAGGTTCACCTGAAAATGTGAGAGGTTTCCACTGTCAATCTTGATGGGATAGGGACAAATACAAGCACTTTATATTTTGTATCCATTATGTAACCCTTCCACAGTGAGTTTGGATAGACAAATGGTTTTGCATAAATAATGATAATAAGAAGTTTAAAATTTCATTCTATAAATTATGTGTTTTGTTTGTTTGTTTAATTTTTTAAAATTGATTTCAGTGAGGAAGGGAGAAGAAGAGAGAAAGAGTAACATCAATGATGAGAGAGAATTATTGATAGGCTACCTCCTGCATGCACCACACTGCGAATCGAGACCACAAACCAGGAATGTGCCCTGACTGGGAATCCAACCTAGAACCCTTTAGTCCGCATGCTGATGCTCTATCCACTGAGCCAAACCACCTTGGGCTATAACTTATGTATTTAAAGCAAAATTAATTATTGTGCCCTCATGTTCCATTTCTGAAGACCTGTTGGCTAAAATTGTATACACCATTGTTCTAGGCGGGATGCATTGACCTTAATGAGGATAACAAAAAGACAGCTCGAGAGGGTTTAGATCTTTTTGACCCTGCACTGTGCTAACCCCCTTCTTCACATGCACAGCTATATTTCTGGTGGAAAACAGTCTAAATTTTAAGTCTAGTGGGTTTAAAAGAAAGAATAAAAAGTGAGGAAATTTTGACTTCTAGAAAGAGTGTAATATTTACTCTTCCATCCTTTGTTGGAAATAAAGATCAGCTCATGTAAGTATTGGGCCACCAAATCTGTGAACACATATCATCCCCTTGTCTCTCTTTGTAATATCTCTGTATCATCTACTTGGACAGTATGATAAGAACAATGGGGATGGAAAGAGATTTTGCTTTGGGTGATGGGTGCATGAGGCAGAGTGCAGATGATGTTTTATTAACTTGTATACTTAAAATATATATGGCTTTGTAAATTAATGTTACCCCAATAAATTCAATTTAAAAAAATATTCTAAGCTGCACATTTTGGAGGAAACCTTATCCTGCAGAAAGTATATGGCTGTGGTTGGTAAACTGCAGCTCGTGAGCCACAAGCAACTCTTTGGCCCCTTGGGAGTGGCTTTTCCATGGCCTGGTGAGTTCATTTTGAAGATATGGTATTAGAAGAAGTTTAAGTTTGAAAAATTTGGCTCGCAAAAGAAATTTCAATTGTTGTACTGTTGATATTTGGCTCTGTTGACTAATGAGTTTGCCGACCACTTGTTTAGGGTATAGATTTGAGTAATTCCACTGTGTATAATATTGCTGTCATTCTCCTTGATTTATTTTATGTTGGGATTACTTACCTATCTAAACAGCCTAGACTCAGGACACCCAGAGACCACTCAACCCATTGCTGCAAGGTCAGTCAGTGGCTTCTCAGAGTTTGCTGAAAAAAATTGAAATATCATGTATTATTTCCCAAAATAGGGGGGAAAATTGGCTTATATGTCTTTTTTTGCATATCTCTTTTACAAATCTGTAGCAGGAGTGGGCACATGGTCAAGGATCTTGGTTTCAGGGTTGTGATTCCTGCCAAGTATTCTTTCATTGTAACTAACATCCACATTGTGTTTTATTGCCACCTAATGACTCCATCCATTTGGGTTGGCTAGGCAAGGCTGGGTGAATGAGTAAAGCACCACTCCTATATTTTTGCAAACATTACATCATTTTATGAATATTTGGAAAAGTCAGGGTGAGTGCCCTTGGTGTAATAATTTCCTTTCTTGTTGACAAAAAGGATTAATCAATGTGGACACACTTGTTAGTTGGGAATAAAGCCAGCAGCACTGGTTTAAGCAGCATGTACGGATGCTGCTAGGGGTCTCTCTTGAGCCAATTATTATGGAAGCCATACCTCCAAAAAAATCACGACTCTTAAATCAACTTCAGTTGATGGAGATATCACCATTGTAAAGCATCCTTTGAGTAAATAGAGGATAGGAGATTGTGAATTCTAGCTTTTATAAGAATGCATCAGTTTGCTATAATAATTGTTTAAATCTCTAGCTTCATCAGATGTGTAGAGTTAGTATTTGAAACTTACAGTTAACAGTTATCACCTCAACTATAGTGTAGTATGTGGGAGGGGAAACATATAACATTAATTATCTGATTTATTTCAACAAGACAAGAGTTTACAGCATGTCATATTTTGCAATTCTGCTTTTCCTAAAAACCCTGAATTATCTGGGATGTATATAAGAGCTATTTAGACTGAGGTAATTGTTTGAGTTACCAAATGATTACTGGTAATAGTAAAAAAAAAAAAAAAGAGAGAGATGCAGCTTCAAAAAATTCTGATTTTAAAATATCACATGATGATAAGAACAAGAATAATAAAATTAGTTTAAAAGCATTATGTGTAAACTAGAAAGGGCTGTCTCTATTACAAATATGTAACCAGTGAGCACAAAAGAGGCTGGGAATTACATATGGGGTACGTGGTAAACTTTGTGATATTTGCTCATGCTAGCTTTTGTTGTACTAAGTAGCAAAAGTTTCAGACATGTATCCAAGATGGCAATAAGTTTGCTTTTTAGTCAACAGAGGAATATTTAAAAAACTGTCAGAAAAAAAAAGTTGCCTGCTAATCACATATTTGCAAAACATAAAATATAGTGAATCGTGGAAATTAAACTGGATCCTGTGGTATTCCCCTGGGCAGGGTGAAAAAGTGGTTTCCTGGGTTCTTGTCCAGGTGGATTTGAAGAATGAAGCCACAGGAAAAGATGGAATTTTATTGGGAAACAAGCTCAGACTTCCACTTTGGGAGGGGAAGAAATTCAAGTCCCTCTTTCTTCAGGTGTATAAAGGCTGAAGTTCTTTGTGTCCTGATATCCCCTCTGATTGGTCACTGTATCAGCTTCAGAGGTCAGTGCCTACCTGGGATTCCCCTTTTCTTCTCCCTTTCTTTTTTTCTTCCTCCCTTTGGCCTTCCTCTTCATTCTCTAAACGAGTGGCTTCCTTTCCCTTTATTCTGTAAATACAATATATACCTTTTGGCAGCTCCCAGCCCCCCTACTCTATGAATGTGTGCCTTCTGCAGCTTCCAGCTTTGCAGGCCTGTGGTTCTCCCCATGGACCTCCTAATTCCTAAAACTTTCTATACCTGCCTATTTTACCCCTAAAAACTCCCTTAAATAGGAAACACTAAAGATAGCAAATATTAGTAGTGATGAAATTCCACTCCATTGGTCCGTGTTTCTGAATCAGATGATTTTCCTGGATAAAAAAAAAAAAAAAAAGATAGCAAATATTAGTGGGGGAAATGAAAGGGTTTCGATACAAGAATGGTTTAGAAAATTGCTAACATTAAAGATAAGTAAAAGTGATTTACTGTGAAAATTTAGGTTCTATTGTAATTTACTAAAAATATTGTTTACATAAACATCACAACTCATAGCTCATGGATAATTTTTTAGGCTAGTGTGGCTTTCATAAATATTATTCTATTTTCATTTAGGCACTAGGCACCATGTAAAAAATATTTCATAACAGCTTTCTTATGCTCCAGTATAAAATCTACAGTCCTTTAATTTTACCTCTCATGTTCTACTAAACACTGACCTGGTACTAATTTTCTTGTTCTATCTTGAATTTAAAGCATGATGCTGATTTCTCTGATTGTGGCATTAATTTCTAGGTGATGCTATAGAGATAATTTGAGTTATCTTTCTCCACTCTTACCTCCTAGCTTTCCTTAAGATTACCATTTGTAATAATCTTTTAAATCCTTTCTTGGAACACCAGATATTTCCACCTGTCTTTGGTTTCAATACACATATTGATTTGATAATATAAAGTTTTTATTATAAGACAAAAAGAGAAATAAAACCCAAAAAATGTTTCCCACTTGTGTGTGGTGAAAAATAGTGAAGAGTACCATGAAAATGGTAGAAAAAAAGTATGAGACAGAGAGAATAAAAGTGAATCAGTAAGTAGAGTATGGATAGAAATACATCATAAAATTCACTCATATACTATCTAAATATCCAGCACTGAGTTAGATCTTTGGTTTATGCTCAATTGTGTGTGTGTGTGTGTGATTATTGGAATTTTTAAATTTCTTTAAAATCATAGTGTTTTTTAAAAGATTTTGAATTTGCTATGATTTATATTTTTTTCAATATCAAGTTCACATTCAAATATCAAATCTGGCAATTAATATTTCTATAATATCAAGCAAGTTACTTAAAGTTTCAATAAAAAGTGAGCTTTCATTAAGAATAAATGGAATAGCCGGACTGGCAAGTCTGTGGTTGAGCCTAAACATATGAATGGTTTGATTGCCCATAGGGCACATGCCCAGGTTGCAGGCTTGATATCCAGTGGGGGTTGTGCAGAAGGCAGCCAATTTATAATTCTCTCTCATCATTGATGTTTCTAACCCTCCATCTCTCTTCCTCTCTGACATCAATAAAATATATATTTTTAAAAAGAATAAATGGAATAATTAAATTCCTAACAAAAATGCTAAGAAGCTTTTAATATTTAAAAGTATCATTATCAGGAATATTATCAATATTAATACATTATTGTTATGACATATTTTAGGGAGAAAAAAAAACTTTCTTTATCACCCTACATAAATTGCATGATTTTAGTTTAATTTATATTGCATAAAGGCATTTTCTGAATAGTATTTTTTTACTATTATAAGTTTCCTGGCTCCTCTGTTTAATGTTTGTAATATATCCCACCAGCCTATCAACTTTGCCATTAGTCTTTCTTATCCATTCTTTACAACCTAGAACATAACCTTAATATATTTTGATAAAAACATGTAACTATTAATATGAATAGACCATTTTTAGTCAGTAAATCAGTATTTATCGTTTCTTATTCTAAAATATTTTATAATTTTCTCTCTTTTATTTTACTTAAAACTATTTTATCCTATTAATGGCCTTTTAAATTATTAAAACTTGGACATGTAGAGGTTAAATAAATGTCCAATAGCACCACTGTTAATATTCTGGAGGCTCAAATGTGAAATCATGATCAATCTTCAAGATTCATTTAAGTATTTTTCTATGCATCCTTTTGTACTTTGTTTTTGGTAATTATTAATTATAATAATCAAAGTTATAATTTTAAAATGTTTATGCCATTGTAAAGACAAAGAAACCATACAAATAGGCCAAGAAACATTTGACTTATGCTTTTTAACAGTTTTCTGTCTTACTGTTTATTGGGAAATAATTCCTCTACATTCTGCACAAGATTTAACTGAGCAAGTGTTCAAAATCAGTATCCCCAAGTCTGGTAGATGTTATTAATTCCCCAGAAAGGAAAAGAAACAATTAAAAATCAAAGATCCACACAACAAAACAAAAAGCACTTGTATTATAGGTTTTGTGTTATATGTGGTTGAATAATGTTTGGAATTAATGAGCCTAAACTAAGTCTCCTCCAAATGACCTCCTTTCACTCCTTGCCACAATTCAGGAAACATGATCCTGCCACAAAGCTGAGTAGCTTCTCGTACCTACTGAGAATGTACAGTTTGAAATTGCCACTGAGGTGAATAGCAGATATGTACTTTTGTGACTAGGACTATTGACTAATAGCTTGACAGAGCATAATGGCAGATATCCATGCTGTACAATGTGTGTTTATTATATACTGCTTGTGACCAAAGGCACTTGTTGAATTTTTTTTTTTTTGGGGGGGGAATCTTTAATAACTTCAGGATAATTGAGGATGGAGTGCTTCTATAACTTCAATATCTGAATTTTGTAGCATTAGTAAGTGGTATATAATAAAATGGTTAAGGAACTCATATTCTGAAACTTAACGCAACTTCTATTTAAATGAGTTCTTCAAATGTCTTTAAATTAGTTTCTCAAATGTTTCGAAACAAAAGAAGATCATGAAGACTTATGTTTAAATGATGAATGAGTCATGCCTTCTTCTACACTCTTACTAACTTCTCTTTGACAATATATATTTGGAAATATTTAGATCTAAAAAGAGAAAATTGAATTAGGATTGAGGGAAGAAACAAACTTTATTTAACTATTATTTGTTTCCTCATCAAGGGCTTTAGTTTATTGGTCAACATAATCTAATATTTTCTCAATTTTATTAAATTTATTGGGATAATTTTGGTTAATAAGGTTATATGTTTCAAGTATATAATCCTATAATAAATCATCTGTATATTGCTTTGTGTTCTAACTACCCAAAGTCTCCTTCTGTAATCATATATTTGACCTCCTTTACCCTCTTCATCTTCCTGCAGTCTTCCTGCTCTCTGGTAATGGTAATCACTACAATGTTGTTTGTACCTTTAAGAGTTTTTGTTTGTTTATTTGTTGATTTCTATATCCACATATAAGTGAAAAAATGTGGTTCTTGTCCTTGTCCACTTGACCTATCTAATATTTAAGAAATGGAATGAAACTATTAAAACAATGTTCACGTTTTTCAGATTTTATATTCTAACTAGAGATTTGGTGCATGAACTTCATGCAAGGGGGTTCCTGCAGCTCAACCTGCACCTTCTCCAATCCGGGACCCCTCAGAGGATGTTTGACTGCCAGTTTAGGCCTGTAGATTGGGCCTAAAGAAGCAGTTGGATATCCATCTCACAATCCTGGATCGCTGGCTCCTAATCACTCACCTGCCTGGTCGCCCCTGACTGCCCCATCCCACTGGCCTAGTCACCTCTTACTACTCCCCCTGCTGGCCTAGTTGCCCCTAACTACCCCACTCTGCTGGTCTGGTTGCCCCTAACTTCCCCCCCACAAGCCTGGTCGCCCTACGCAGCCTGATGTTCAGTCATTTTGTCGTCCCTCACTAACCCTCCTGCTGGCCTGTTCATAGGCAGCCATCTTGTGAGGGCATAATGGTCAATTTGCATATTACGTCTTTATTATATAGAATAAGCTTAGCTAAACTGCATAAATGATTGTTTGTCAGTCTGGGCTTATCTATATCATAGTCATTTTAGAAAGAACAAAACTTATGTTCTATAGTATAGTTTATCTATCTTAGATGTTATTATTACCTACTAAATAGGAAAGTTAAAAATAAAATTGAAATTTGCACAACATATTATTAAGGGAAATGGGTTCAATAGTCATTTTTCATCATCCTTTTTTTTTTACTACATTGTAAATGGTAAAAAGGAACTATATGTAAATATGTACATACATATTTATGTATAAAATGTATATATAAAAATGAGAGATAGAGAGAGGAGGGAAATGATATATATAGCCAGAGAGACATGTTTTTTATGTATATATTTATATCTATAAAAATTACCTATGAGAGAGTGAGGAAGAGAAAGAAAGAGGATCCTAGGTAAGCTAGGTTATTTTTCTAGTGCTTATAATAGCTTCTCAATGAATAAATATTATATAACCTTCCGTGAAATATAGGTTTCTACACATACCCAAAAAAACAACAACAACCAAAACTCCATAATACAACCAGTAAGAAGAGAAAAAAGTAGTTGCCTAATGGGCAACATAGCATAAATATTAATAAAAGTGTAAATTGTGAATTAAGGATTAATATAATAACATATTGCTTAATTTATAGTTATATAATAAATAATTTACACTCAGCTTATTGAGAAAATTCAATCAAATAACTAATAATTTGAAATAATTTTATTTCAACCTAAAGAAAATCAAGTTAGGTCTGATTTCTGTGTTGCAGGCTTGATTTTGCTTATAACTATCACTTGACTATCATAACTTGTTTTGGACAAAGAATTATAGAATATTTTCTTTTATGACAGATTTTTGGTGGATTAAAATTTTGTCATTTATATTCCTATATAAATTTATACTGAGGTGTTATCTTCATCAGAATTAGCACAGGAAACAAAAAGAGTGACTCTGAGCTAAACATGCTAAACATTTCACTGATGCTGTGGTGGAGTTGATTCATTTAAAATGGATAGCTACATAGGCTTGCACTATTTCCTTTAAATAAATCTTTCCCTTACCCAGTATTTATATACATTTTTACCTAGCTGCTGGAGGGCTTGTATACTTAGAAATATCTTTTTGTTATACATATACTGATGATTGAATAGCTGGAAGCCATAACAGCTGTCCTGTAGAATAAAACATCTCAAGGCAGAAAAGATTCTTATATGGCTATAGGGCTCTCATATACACAAAATGTGTTTTTCTAGAAATAGTTTCCAAAAGTGGTGAAAAGCAGAATTAAAAAAAAAAAAAAAAGCCTATACCATCATCTTTACCACATTCAATTGTAAAAATGGGAGACATATAAATT